GTAGGCCAACAAGTTTATATATAAGACCATCTTGCCATAAGCTATCAAAAGCTTTGTTAACATCCCTGGTGGCAATTAGGGCAAGATTGCCCTGATGTTTCAGGCTCGCTACAGCATCGAAAATAATATTTATTGCATGATGGATATCTCTATGAGCCCTGAAGCCAAACTGTTTTTCAGTAAAGAGGTGATTATACTCCATGTAATAGTTCAATCTATTGGAAATGATTTTCTCAAGAACTTTGCCAGTGACTTCAAGTAAGGATATAGGTCTATAATTCCCAGGTTGGTGAATGCAGCAGGCCTACTGACCCATACAGAGCAGGTCCATGTCCCCCCCCCTCCGGATTAACCCAATGACCCACCCAGTCTGGTCACCTCCACTCAAGGAAAGAGCACGGCACCAGACCCAGCAGCATAAGCTAGTCAGGTCCAACTCACACCCACCCACACCCACTCATGTATTTATCTAACCTATTTTTAAAACTACACAACATTTTAGCCTCAATAACTGTACTAGGGCGTTTGTTCCACTCATCCACAACTCTATTACCAAACCAATGCTTTCCTATATCCTTCCTGAATCTGAATTTTTCCAACTTGAAACCACTGCTGCAAGTCCTGTCTTGGCTGGAAATTTTCAGTATGCTATTTACATCCCCTTTATTTATTCCTGTTTTCCATTTATACACCTCGATCATATCCCCCCTGATTTTAAGCCTTTTGAGAGTGCAGATTCAGCGCCCTCAGTCTATCCTCATAGGGAAAATTTCTGATACATAGGATCATCTTTGTCATCCTCCTCTGTACGTTTTCCAGAGCATTTATATCCGTTCTGTAATACGGTGACCAGAACTGAGCAGCATAGTCTAAATGAGGCCTAACCAAGGATATATAGAGTTGAAGAAACCTGAGGACTTTATTATTTATACTTCTAGATATGAAGCCAAGAATTCTGTTAGCTTTATTGCAAACACTAATGCACTGTTGTCTTGGTTTTAGATTACTGCTAACCAGAACTCCTAAATCCTTTTCACAATCAGTAGTATTAACATCTACATTATTTAGTTTATATGTCGCATGGTTATTTTCCTGTCCAACATCTAGAACTTTGCATTCGTCTATATTAAACTGCGTCTGCCACTTCTCCGACCATTGCATCAGTCTATTCAAATCATCCTGGAGTGCTCTAGTGTCCTCATTAGAATGAATTGGACAGCCTATTTGGTGTCATCAGCAAATTTGCTTATGTCGCTATTTATTCCCACCGCTTGTGATGTGCCCCCATTCTGATTTCTCCCCATTTATGCAAACTCTCTGCTGCCTATTTGTCAGCCATGCCTCTACCCAGGAAAAAATTTCTCCTATTCCGTGTGCCTTAAGTTTCCTCAAAAGCCTCTGATGTGGAACTCTATCGAAAGCCTTACTGAAGTCCATATACACAATATCATATTCAATACCATGATCTACCTCCTCAAACACCTTATGGAAAAAGTTAGTAAATTCGTAAGACAGGAACGCCCCTTTGTAAAACCATGTTGAGATTCATTAATCAATCTGTGCCTATCAAGATGGCTACGAATTGCTTCGGCAATTATTGATTCCATAAATTTTCCCACTATGGAGGTAAGGTCATCTTTAAGAGTGGATGTATCGACGAAAGGTAGTGGTTGGAGATCAGCTAAGTTGTTATCTCTCCATTCAGTGACCAACTGATAATGGTTATTATTAAATCGGCGACTGTTGCTGTGGGAGAGAATTTTCTCTCACACATCACCCATCAGACTGGCCTGATCCTGTGGATCATCAAGTTTTTTCTCAACCTCCTCCTCCTCATCATCATCATCATCAGTAAAAGTATGAATTATGTAACTGGGAGCCTTGCATTTTGCCCCTAAAAGCTGCCGGATCTTGCTCCAGAATTTTTCAGGATGACGCCTATGCTGGTTAGCTTGGAGAACTAGATTTTTCCATAAGTCACATTTGTGATGACTAATCATGGTAATTAACCCCTTGACTGTCGCAACCCCCAATCCTGAGGTGTCTCCTGGTGTCGCAAAATTTCAAAAAAAAAAAATTATTTTTTTCTTATGAAATGATAGAGAATCTTTTCCCGATTGTAATGACACAAAAAAAAACAAAAAAAAATTTGATGGAAAACTAATGGAAATACGCTCTCATGAAGTTAGCGACCTCGGCGATATTTACGAATCGGCAATTTTGCCCACACTGAGCACTATTTTTGACTAATTCCATTGTTCCAGTTGACCAAACTCATAATTATTTCTTTAGACCTCCATTTTTTCTATCGACTGAGTACAAGAAACTGCCCATTTACTGATTTCAACTACCCAATAACGTGGTCAGAAATTTGCAATTTGGCCAATTTCATGAAAATTAAAAAATATGACAATTTCAAAATAGGGTCCAGAATGAACACTGCAGACATTCCTGGTTCTAAAATAACATTTTCTTTGTTCATCAGTCACGTCTCCAGGCCCCTATGATATTACTCTTGCTTTCTATTTTGAATTTTTATTCAAACAAAAAATAGAAGATTTACTGTTATGCAGACTACTGCAATATTGTAATAATTGTATAAAGTATGTCAACCCATTCATGACTGCATATTAGAATGGCTACTTGAACATTTATTGGAAAATGACATCATTTGTTTACTTTTAAACATCGGCAAAAATCAAACATTTCCCCTATTTTGAGCTTCATTTCAAAGTTGTTTTCATAGTAAAACCAATCAAAATCACCTCTATTTCTATATGTTTTCCATTCTGTCAAATGAGACCAAGAAAACGAGAATACAACCATAAATACTAAGCAAAAATAGACCACAAAGTTGGTATTTTAATTAAAAAAACAGTCGGAGTTTTTTTTTCTCATTATGCACTTTATATGGTGCACACTGACCACACAGACCCATTCACTCATATGTGGGCCTACCAGCTTTCTCCTGCTCGATTTGAAACCGCTAAAATTTATGAGTACAGGAAGGCCCCACTTATACGGCGGGTTAGGTTCCAGGCTACCGCCGTAAAGCGGAAACCGCCGTAAAGTGGAACACCCTTTTTTTCCACTTACAAATGCATACAAACACTAGATAACAAGTTTACACTAACATATATTATGTTAGCAATAGAACCAGGCATCAAAAAACAATAAAAAAGTACAATACACACATAGTGCACTCATTACTACCTTAAAATATTTATAGTACTTAATCTAGGTGAGACAAGTAGTATTTATTGTTAAGAAATCAAGTGTGTATGTATTGTAATAGCCAGGCTACCTCACCAGGCCACCCCACCACACATACTATTCTATGATATTTAGCATCCCAGAGCGATAAAATGTATATTACAGTTCACTCATTACTTACCTTAAAATTTTGTAGTCTTAATGTAGGGTCAGGAGTAGTAAATGAGATAAAACGAATAAATGAGAGGAGAAAGAATGGTACATGAGAGGTAACAGCGCAGAGTTTATGTAAACAAACCAGGCTCCCACATCTTATTTTATGTTTATTTATTCTATTGTGGGGTGTATTTATCATCTTTTTATGTTATGTTATCGTGTTTATTTATAAATTTGAAAAAAAATATATGGATGGATTAATGAACATGTGTATATTACCGTAATATAACGACATTTAATGAGACTCGGTGACTATTGTTATTATGGCGTCACTTGTGGAAGTCGTCTGCTCACATCTCACATTTATGTTTATTTATTCTACTGTGGGGTGTATTTATCTTATTTATATGTTATGCATCGTGTTTATTTATATAATTTTGAAAAAAATATCATGGATGGATTAATGAAAATGTGTATATTACCGTAATATACGACATTTAATGAGACTCGGTGACTATTGTTATTATGGCGTCACTTGTGGAAGTCGTCTGCTCACATCTCACATTTATGTTTATTTATTCTACTGTGGGGTGTATTTATCTTATTTATATGTTATGCATCGTGTTTATTATATAAATTTTGAAAAAATATCATGGATGGATTAATGAAAAATGTGTAATTACCGTAACATACGACATTTAATGAGACTCGGTGACTATTGTTATTATGGCGTCACTTGTGGAAGTCGTCTGCTCACATCTCACATTTATGTTTATTTATTCTACTGTGGGGTGTATTTATCTTATTTAATTGTTATGCATCGTGTTTATTATATAATTTTGAAAAAAAATATCATGGATGGATTAATGAAAATGTGTATATTACCGTAATATACGACATTTAATGAGACTCGGTGAGTATTGTTATTATGGCGTCACTTGTGGAAGTCGTCTGCTCACATCTCACATTTATGTTTATTTATTCTACTGTGGGTGTATTTATCTTATTTATATGTTATGCATCGTGTTTATTATATAATTTTGAAAAAAATCATGGATGGATTAATGAAAATGTGTATATTAACGTAATATACGACATTTAAATGACTCGATGTAATGTAAGTTTATTTAGGTACAGGTATACATAAGTATAATTATCAGAGTATATATAAAATATGAAATAACTTTTAAAAACATTTGAAATTTTGGAGTTTCCAGACAAAATGGAGAGACTTAGTGCTTACTGAGCTCATGGAGAATGTAAACAAACAGGGTGGGGCACGGTGACCGTATTAGAAAGTCAGGTGGGGGGAGCCGTATAGTGAGTTTTGGTCATAATTTGAAATGTCCGTATTAGCGGAACGCCGTAAAGTGAAACGCCGTAAAGCGGGGCCTTCCTGTATATATACATGTACTTCAAACACGGTGGCTCGAAACAGTCAAAGGCTTAAAGAAATGTTGAACATTAAGTTGGAAAATTGTAATCCCCATTATTTCTTGCACTTTGAGCATTTCCTGCAGACATAGGGTGGACATCTGCAAGTAACATTACAATTGGCACACACACACACACTCCCTACTCGACTCATCAAGGGAAAGAGGGTAATTCTGAGTAGTTGCTTGCATACTGACCATGTCACCATCCTCACTGGTGGTGGTAATATCAACAGAAGCATTTGAGTCATCACTGGATAACTGAGGTGTGATATCCCCAGTTACAGGAAGCAGAGGCACATGAGTATCCAAAGGAGACCGTGGGGGCTCCAAGTGAAAATTTGGTAGACCAGGTGAAGTACCCTGGGAAAGTTCTTATTCCACAAGATCAGCTGCAATAGTGGAAGAATAAGCACCAATACCTGGGGCAAGGTTAGGGGCAGGTATTGACTCATCAGGCAGAGGGGAGCTGACAACTGGGGTATGCAAGGCAGGTGAGCCCTGTATGAGAGATGAACTAGGCATATTTGTAGGGGTAGAGTAGGGCATATACTTCCTATCTTGAAGGGGCTGAACCATAAAAAACTTCACATTGTCTGGGATTTTAATGGGACTGATCCCATTAGCCCTTAACAAATCATTGAAAACATTAGAACAGAGTTAAATATCACCACCTGCTATGTTCTTGGCCAACATGTACATTAGTTGAGCTCTCGTCATATCCCAGGCTGAGAACCCCGGAGACATGGAGAGTGAGGAAGAACCATGTGCCTGTGTTTGTTGTAGGTGAGGGTTAGGGGGAGGGTGGGGCACTGCAGGAGGGGCAGAAGTCCAAACATTGGAACCAGTAGAGGAGGCTTGAGGAGTCCCACTAGATCCAGGCAGAGCAGGGAAAGAATCCTGGGACATTGTTGGTGGTACCCGGGAAGGGGTCTTCGAAGAATTGGACAGTTTCCTGGTGTCTAGAATTTTCTGGATCGCAATTTTCCTCTCAGGACAGGTAAGGGAAACAGCATGGTGTTTTCCATTACAAAGGACACACTTGGGTTTAGTTTTGTTATGACAGTCTCGAAAAGAATGCTCAATAGAGCATATGCTGCAAATTGTCGATTGGCTACTGCATTTACTGGTGGTATAACCAAACGCATAACATTCGAAACATTGTGTAACACTGACAAATCATTCAAGAGAGATTTGGTCAGGTGTACATCCGGTGCAAATACATTTGAAACCACACTGACACACGAGTTTGGCTTCTTCAGGTGTCTGTAGGATTAACTTCAATGCTACCTGTTTTCTGGCAGGTTTAGGGAATTTATATGCATTGAGAACCTTAAATTCAGAATTCTCCTGAGTAAGTTCTGCAAGAAGTTCCTCCACAGAGCTGTCTCTTATGAAGCTGTTGATTCTCGCCACAAAAACAGTTCGCTGGGCTTGATAGCTATCAGGTGGAATGGGGACAATAAACAAAGCCTCCAATTTATCAAGAACGTCATGCTTAAGCAGTTGGAGTAACTCCTCTTCAGAGGAGAGTTGAAGTACTGCCCTAGAGTGGGTTTGAAAAACATCCACTAGTGCAACAGTTGAATTTGAACAAATACATTCGAGAATTTCCTTTTTAGACTTTTGATTGTCAATGACACGTATTCGTACTCTTATTCATGCCATGATGTCCAGGAAGGTACATCTGACACAGATAAGTTGCTTTAACAAGAAAGACTTTCCTTGGTGGTAACCCTAAATATCCCAAGTCAGCTGACTTATGAAGGTCAGCCCCTAAGATAGCCTACCCTTGAGGAGTGAGAGAGAGAGGGCCTAAGGCAAAGATCGGCCAGATTTTAAAAAAACCACACGGGCTACTGGATGGTCAAAATGCCTTGTGTTAACTCACCGAAGGCGAAGTTGCTGAAAAAGAAGAAAATAGGAAAGTCAGAAGGATAGCAGTGTAAGCAGACTGTTAGAATGTGGGCCAGTGTAGATGTTTGGGTGAGAGGAGGAAGGGGAAGGATGAGGAGATGGGAAAAAGAGGGATAAGAACATATAAGAACGTAGGAACACTGCAGAAGGCCTACTGGCCCATGCGAGGCAGGTCCAAGTCTCCTACCGGCTTAAGCCAATGCACCCAACCTAGTCAGGTCAGGTCACATTGACTTAAGGGAGGAATACGGCAACCGACCTGGTAGCACAAGCTATCAGGTCCAACTCACACCCACCCACATCCACTCATGTATTTATCCAACCTATTTTTAAAGCTACACAACATTCTGGCCTCTATAACTGTACTCGGGAGTTTGTTCTACTCATCCACAACTCTATTACCAAACCAGTACTTTCCTATATCCTTCCTGAATCTGAATTTTTCCAACTTAAAACCATTGCTGCGAGTCCTGTCTAGGCTAGATATTTTCAGCAAACTATTTACATCACCTTTATTTATTCCTGTCTTCCATTTATACACCTCAATCATATCCCCCCTAATTCTACGTCTTTCTAGAGAGTGCAGATTCAGGGCCCTTTAGTCTATCCTCATAGGGAAGGTTTCTGATACATGGGATCAACTTTGTCATCCTCCTTTGTACATTTTCCAGAGAATTTATAACCATCCTGTAATACGGTGACCAAAACTGTGCAGCATAATCTAAATGAGGCCTAACCAAGGATGTATAGAGTTGAAGAACAACCTGAGGACTCCTTTTATTTATGCTTCTTGATATGAAGCCAAGGATTCTATTAGCTTTATTGCGAACACTTATGCACTGTTGTTTTGGTTTCAGATTACTGCTAACCAGAACTCCTAAATCTTTTTCGCAATCCGTAATATTAAGATCTACATTATTTAATTTATATGTGGCGTGGTTATTGTCCTGTCCAACATTTAGAACTTTGCATTTGTCTATATTAAACTGCATCTGCCACTTCTCCGACCACTGCATCAGTCTATTCAAATCTTCCTGGAGTGCTCGAATGTCCTCGTCAGAATGAATTCGACGGCCTATTTTGGTGTCATCGGCAAACTTGCCGATGTCGCTCTTTATGCCCTCATCTATGTCGTTTATGTATATTGTGAACAGCAGGGGGCCCAACACTGACCCCTGTGGAACACCGCTCGTAACGCTTCCCCACTCTGATTTCTCCCATTTATGCAAACTCTCTGCTGCTTATTTGTCAACCATGCTCTATCCAGGAAAAAATTTCTCCTCCTATTCCATGTGCTTTAATTTTTCCTCAATAGTCTCTGATGTGGGACCCTGTCAAAAGCCTTACTGAAGTCCATATACACAATATCATATTCATTACCAATGATCTACCTCCTCAAATACCTTAGTGAAAAAAGTTAATTTAAATTCGAAAGGCAGGAACGCCCCTTTGTAAAACCATGCTGAGATTCGTTGATTAATTTATGCTTTTCAAGGTGGCTACGAACTGCCTCGGCAATTATTGATTCCATAAATTTTCCCACTATGGAGGTTAGGCTTATTGGTCTATAGTTCGAAGCTAAGGACCTGTCACCTGTTTTGAAAATAGGTATCACATTTGCCATTTTCCACTTATCTGGCACCATGCCAGTTTGTAGTGATATGTTGAAAAGATTAGCCAAAGGTGTGCTAAGCTCCTCTTTACATTCCTTTAGAACCCTTGCATACAGTTCATCAGGGCCTGGGGATGAACAAGCAAGCAAGTCACTGCCTTACCCTCTTGAAGGGATGGGGCTAGAAGTGACTAAGCAAGTTTCCTCTCAGCTCTGGTTAAGAATTACTCAGGATAACCCAAGAAAAAACTCGAGGCACAGTGCTCAGAGCTGCTCTGGTCAAGAATTACTCAGGATAACCCAAGAAAAAACTCGAGGCACAGTGTTCAGAGCAGGAACGAAGACATCTTCTCTCCAAGGCAGCTGCACGACGACCTGTCTGTGTCTGTGAATCAATGTGTGTATCTGTGAACATGAATTTTTTTCGCTATGATTACAGTAGGGCCCCGCTTTACGGCGTTTTGCTTCACAGCGTTCCACTAATACGGTCATTTCAAATTATGATCAAAACTCACTATACGGCTCCGCCCACCTGACTTTCTAATACGGTCACCGCGCCCAACCCGGTTTGTTTACATTCTCCGTGAGATCCGTAGGCACTAAGTCTCACCATTTTGTCCGGAAACCCCAAAATTTCAAGTGTTTTTAAAAGTTATTTCATATTTTATACCCTGATAATTATAATATGTATACTGTTCCTAAAATAAAACTTACTGGTTGGTGTGCAGGCACATATAAATCAGTAAGAGTTCTTATGTCTAGAATATTAGTAAATGATAATAATAATACGAGTCTCATTTAAATGTGTATAAATTTTAAAATACACTTTCCATAATCCATCTATTGATATTTTTTCAAAATTATATAATAAACCGATGCTTTAACATATAAATATGATAAACACACCCCCAGTAGAATAAATAAACAAAAATATGAGATGTGGTACCGATGACTTGACAAGGGGGACCCATATTAAAATTTAATAATAATATTCATCACGGTCTCATTAAATTCATATTTACTTTTAAATATACACATTTTCATTAATCCGTCCATGATATTTTTTCAAAATTATAAAATAAACCGATACATAAATTAAGATGATAAAAAACACCCCACAATAGAATAAATAAACAAATATGAGGTGTGGTAGCCAGATAACTTATACAAGTGATGGCAAGAATAACATTTTCTCTAATCTTACATAAGAGAAAATGTGTTATGGGGTAACTTAGAAAATTATTCCTTTCGTATGTAAGTTTATTCAGGTATACACAAATACAGTTACATAGATTATCATACATAACAGCATATGTGTTGAGAACCTAGGATAACCCAAAAAAGTCAGAGTAACTTATTTCCATTGCCTTCACTCAGAGTGTTATTTCTTCTAAAAATGGTGTTACATGAGAATGGGAGTGTTCTTTTTTATTTATTCTACCGTATCAATGTAGAGACAACTTGTACACAATGTAACTTGTACACAAACCAGATGTGTACATTTTGTTTGTTTACAATACTTACATTCACCTGGTTTGTTTACATAACTCTGCACCTGTCCTCCCTCATGTACTCATCTTCTCTCTCTCTCTCTCTCTCTCTCATTTATTCGTTTTATCTTGTTTACTTACTCCTGACCCTACATTAAGTCTACAAATACTTTAAGGTAAGTAATGAGTGAACTGTATATGCATTTTATCGCTCTGGGATGCTTAAATATCATAGAATAGTATGTGCGGGTGGGGTGGCCTGGCATGGTAGCTCAGCTGACTACCATACATACAATAAATACCATTTCTTACAACAAATACTACTCATCTCACCCTAGATTAAGGCAACAAATATTTTAAATTAAATAATGAGTAAACTGTATATGCATTTCATCACTCTGGGATGCTTAACCCCTTGACTGTCGCAACCCCTAATCCTGAGGTCTCTCTTGGTGTCGCAAAATTTAAAAAAAAAAAAAAAAAAAAAAATTCTTATGAAATGATAGAGAATCTTTTCCCGATTGTAATGACACCAAAAAAAACGATATTTAATGGAAAACTGATGGAATTACGTCCTCGCGAAGTTAGCAACCTCGGTGATATTTACAAATTGGCGATTTCGCCCACACTGAGCACTATTTTTGGCTAATTCCATTGTTCCAGTCGACCAAACTCATGGCTATTTCTTTAGAACTCTGTTTTTTCTATCGATTGAGTACAAGAAACTGCCCATTTACCAATTTCAACTACCCAATAATGTGGTCAGAAATTTGCAATTTGCCCAATTTCACGAAAATTAAAAAATATGACAAATTTTAAAATAAGTTCCAGAATGAACAATGCAGACTTTCCCGGCTCAAAAAAAACATTTTCTTTGTTATAGTCATGTCTCCAGGGCCCCCTTTATATTACTCTTCTTTTTATTTTGAATTTTTATTCAAAAAAAAAAATAAAAAATTTACTATTTTTCAAAAAACTAAACTTAAA